AACAGTCTAATCGATGCAGAATTTCCTTGTCTATCGAATGAGACTATTTAAATATATTTTATGGACTAAATTAAACTTAGAATTAATTATGATAAGTAGAGACTGAATATTAGTGGAAAACTATTGTAATCTAACATTTATTTTGTTCTTGAATTATTTTTTTCTTATTAGGCATACTTTACTACTGACAAAATCATTAATTAATTTCCGAGCTCATTTTCCAAATCTAGCTCATTTTTCTCTTTTTACCCTCAAAAATAAAACCAACCGAGCTCATTTCTCTCATTTTAAAGCCAACTAAACACACCGAGCTCACATAACACTCTTTCGGAGCTTTATTATTTTACCCAAATATTTATATTATTGTTGTATATGGCGAAAAGAAAGATAGTGACAATCAACAGACACTGCTTTGTATGGTCTCATCATTATTTAGTATATTCATATTTTACTTAAGGACCTCGTACATCCGATCTTGACGAAACTTTCCATAAATATTAGGTTTAATGAGTTACGGGAACGAAAAAATTTTTTGTCTTCAGATCTTACCGTTTAGGAGTTTTCTAGAGATCAAGATCCAAAAAGAACCCTAAAGTATTTCCCAAGATTTTTTAATATACTTCAAGCTGGAGAGTTCGGGTTTGTTTTATTTTAAGCTAGACACTTAACTACATGGACTGACAGGCGCCGAGTTTTCAAATAAGCCTTTGTTGGTTTTCCAGGCAACCAACAACATTCAAAACCGGAAAAACCCTTCCGAGTTTTCTAAAAATGTTCAATTTGACAGAAAACTAAGACCTAATTCAAAAATCGGCGCCTGTCAGTCCATGTAGTTCCTTTTCCTCTTTTAAACAAAAAAAGAATAAACTCTCTACGACAAACCGCTATAAAAAATCTTGGGAAATACTTCAGGTGTAACTGTTATATAGAGAAAACGCAATACAGCGTATTTCATACAGCGTTTATAAACGGTGTATGAAATACTCAATTTTAGAACTTCTAGGAAAATACCTGTAACTTTTTGATGCAAGGGCATACAGAGTTGTGCGAGGTCTTATCTTGATCAGAAAATTTTGCTCTACAAATCTGTGCGTTTAGAAAAATTTTAGTTGCATAAGTAACGAGGAAAAAACTACTATTTGAAGACCCGGTTTTTCGAGGCTCCTAGAAAACTTGCTCAAGATCCGTGAAAAAACACTTTTGTAACCAAAAGCGATACAGATTCTGAAAGTAGGCAATTCGGGCTATCTTTCCATGTGCGTATCTCAAAACTGTTTTTTTGACCGAAAATCACCATTTCTGAGGAGGGGGCCGTAATTAATTGTTTCATCATTAATAATGAAATTTCAAAAGTCGTCATAGGGGAGGACATTATCGTGCATTGTTAGTGTCACAAAGGTCTATCTCTATTAGTGTGAAAATTCCGAAAATTATGAGAATGATTAAAGCATATAGCGATGTAGCAGACAAACAAGATTCAGTCGAAGATTTTGCTACAGCTGATTGAAATTAAGTCAAGCAAATTTCGATAAATTTATCGGTCTGTAGACCTTTCCAGACGTTAACTTTCGCGTTACAGTTAGTCCGCATCTGATTACCATTGAACAAGATATATGAGCAGAAAACGAGTCAGGGACAAGCAAGAAGTGTGAGAATACTGGCCTAGTCATTTTTTCTCCTACAATATACTGACGAGGTGGTTTTGAAGGTGAAAACAAACGATAAAATAAAATAAAATAAAGAATATTGAAAAAATCTAGGTATATGCTACGGGTCAGATTAGAATTCAGGTCGATTCCAAATCAGACTAGACTCATTTGGAATTCCGATCCAGGCTAATCAAATTTAGAATCGAGATGCTTGCACATGTTAATCCTAAATGAGGCTAGTCCAATTCGGAATCAGGCTAGGTCAAGTTAGAATTCCTAATCGGACTAGCCTGATTCGGAACTAAACTGGGCTCAATTAGAATTCCAATTGGAGTCTAGGCTGATTCTGAATTGAACTAGGATCATTTAGAATTCTGTATCAGAATACGATAAAACAAACAATTTTCAGAATAATCAGGAAAAATTAATTAGCCTTCTATTATACAGGTATACGAGACCGGAATCAAAAACATTTTCAATAGTTGAAAACTTATAAAAATAATAGTCATTCTAATAATAATAGCCATACTTTCGATAAATGGATGAGGTAAGCCTTCGGTCTACGCCATTCATTGGATCTTTGGAAAACCCCGTTGAGACTTCAAAACTGAAAAATCAAATCGGCGTAAAGCAGCTAAAACAAAGTATATTCGGAAGTGTTTTGAACCGATTTTCTGGTTGATTGACAACCGTCTTTTACTTAAAAACAGAGCAGGTTTGCAGACTAGAGATCTGCGTGGCCATGGGAATTTCCGTGCCCGCGGGCATGGACGGGCAACTGCTTCGCTTCGAAGGGCACGGGCTTCTCAAAAAGATATTTTTAAATGTTTTGAGCAACAAAATGGTATGAAGATTTGAATTTTTTGTGAATGGAATATAGACAGTTAGAGACATGCTACAGAAAGAACAACATAACATAATGTTTGGATTACAATCGTCTATACACAGAAAAATTTCGAAGTTATCTGTAATGCTCACATTTTTGTTAGACATAGCTTCAAATTTCTTTTCACAGCTGAGTTTTCAAGAAGAAACATTTCTCTACAAAATGCGACGTTCCGCGACTCTGAGTAAGTCTTTATAGGCGACTTGTAACAATTTTCGTTGAAGCCCGAACAACAGTTTTTAACTGGTGCATGCCTGCTGTCCATAACTTCATATCATCTTGTATATGAGTCCTTGAAATGGGACATATGTCGGATAATTTGGCGTGATCTTGGGTAGTTTACACGATTTTCAGATATTTCCTTTTGCATTCGATAGAGTAATGTAAGCCATAAACAGAAGATTTTATAAAAACTGTCAGTCTCTACTTATCATAATTAATTCTAAGTTTAATTTAGTCCATAAAATATATTTAAATAGTCTCATTCGATAGACAAGGAAATTCTGCATCGATTAGACTGTTTTACAGATTTTCACAACTATTACATAATCGTGAGAAAACGAAATCAGATGTAGTGAAATATCAATGTTTTTCAAAGATAAACTGTGAAGTGAAGTAGTTGTAAAAATCGAAACTTTTCTGATTCATGAAAAGTTAGTGGTATTGGAATATCTTTGCGAGGGAGTTGATTATATTCAAAAGACTTTATTTATAATATTACTCCCTCCTTTTTCGATTTTGAACTAGTTTAGGCCAATCCCCACTACTTCTGATAATGTTAAGATGTAGGCTACTCGATGAAATAGTTGACGATGTTGCTTCATAGGATAAATAAGAACTTCGGCAATCTAGCAGAGTCTGATTAGTTCGAATCAGGCCAACAGAATTGTCACAGGTGCAAAAACGAAAGAGAAAGACAATATACAACTTAAAATTTCGTGAGGAAAATTGTTTTAAGTCAGAAATATCCTAAAACTTCAGAATATTTTACGCTTATCTCATTTTCCAACGATCGAAAAGTGTTAAGGAAACGTCTAAGAGTCTTTTCCCATTAATGTCATTATCGCTCAAATATCAACAATGAAGTTAACCGAAAACCAGCTTTTCACAACGTCCAGTAACTGTGACAGTCAAACGACGACTCATTTTTCCCATACAAGGTGAGACACATGCTCTTTGACACAAACTCTTAAAAGGCATACCAGCACTGACACTCCAAATGATAACTCAAATAGTGAAAAAAGTTCGCGTTCCCTAGATATTCTTCTTCAATCAATCTTTTATTCTTCATCCAGTTCTTCTCTTTCACAAATTCTTCTATAGTTCTAAACAAGTTCAGTCATGCGAGCGGAAAAAGGACATACATTTTGTGAGTGGAAGAACATATCATACTCTGCTTGCTAAGTAATCAGATAAAGTGTCTCAAACGGTTAAAAATACACAGTTTCTCACATTAATATTTTTTTTGTATATCACGATCATTGTTTGAGTTTCATGCATCAAGTGTTTGATCAGAATAAGATTTAATCAACTGCAAGCACAGACATCCACTCATCTTCTCTATATCAACGGTAATATAATTACTACTGCACTTTTCTGGTTTAATTAACAAACTCTCTACAAGTAGCAACATATAATTTATTGCGAACGTGTGGATTGTAATTTGAACAGAGTCCAATTATTCTCAAGTACTGCTGTGTGTGTGCATATCTGTTCTTATTCTAAAAGACTTCCGGATACAATCTAAATTGATTTAGTCAAAAGAATGTAAAACTAAGGGAGCGTTTCAAAATATATTCCGGTCGGTCGCTATTCCTCTATTCCGCGACTGTTCCTCTGTTATTCCTCTATTATAGAACACTTCATTTTATACTACTTTTTCTATATATAATTTATAGAGTATACTGAGCTTGATTTTCTTTTCTAATTGTTTCTACTTCTTCAAAAACAATTAACCGCCATGTTTTCAAAGATTATTCATTTATCAAGCTAATATATTTAAAGTAAAAAGAGAACATCTCTTTTATAGTTCATTCTCCTGTCATACTGTTTAGGCTTTTTTAGAATAAAATGTTTTCCTTAATATCAGGAAGAAACTATAGTATCACGTGTTTTTCTTTATAGAAGTAAAGATTCAGACAAAAACGAATTAAAATTAGGCTAAAACAGATGAATATCAATCTAATGATCTACAACGTAATCGACAACATTTTTTATTTATGGTATCTTTAAACTTTTTTGTTTGTCTATACGTGCTATATCGTTGACCATAAATATTATACATATGTTGGTCAATTGTATGAACACGTTGTGGGCATAATGGTTTTGTTCCTTTTACTGTGCCATTAATGGAGCTCTCTCTCAATTCTTCAGTAGAAAATATGGCACCGAATAAAAAGGATAACAAATGATTAAATCCCTTTTCTCCAGTTAACAATTCAGTTTCTGCAGCATTCTTGGCACGATTGTATTTTTCCGTATATACTTGATAACTTTCTTGTGTTGTTGGATTTGTAATTGTTAATGTTGATACCTAGAGGCCAAAGTTCAAAAGCTAGACAGAAAATTCAATTTTTCCGGATTTATAAGCATAAACACGTACTCCAAATTGCGGCTGTGTTGATGTAGAATTATATGTGACGATAGGTGCCAATGTACGTGATCTTTTTATTTTACTTGTTGGTGTAGAATTCTAAAAAGTATTCACTAGATGAAATAAAGTTTGGCAATCAGAAAAAACGTGTTCGCTGGCGATAAATAGTAAATGCTTCAGTAGTTTATAGCAACTTATATATCAGATAACTACATATGCTGTTAATTATAAATAGCTTTTCACCTGTAGTACTGGACCATTAATATCTTGTAATAAATCATTTTCGCTTGTTTTTCTTTTATTATTTGCTGTTGGTTCAAATGGTGCATGAATGATATCATTTGCTGCTTTCACAACCATAGAAGCACTGCTTGCCGTCTAAATATAACCATACGATAATTTATTATCTATTTTTCTTAGCTATTGAATTAACTTGACTTACTTCTTGTGGTTCATTATTTACGTCACCTGATATATACGTATCATTGTCACCTGTAGTTACAAAATTCGAAGAAATTTCATGATTATAATTTTCTTGATCAAAAATATGACGATTGGTAGCCTAAACGACAAAAAAAAATCGTGTCGTGTTTCAAACTGAATCTGTTACAATCTTAAATTTTACAAAAATAATTTGAGTTGATATTTCAGTTCATTTTATTTTAACTTCGCAAAGTGACAGATTATATATCAAACTACAAAATAGTGTGTAATAACAAAATTAGAAAATTCTTTTCGTTTTATAGCTTTCTATATAGACGCAAAAAAAAATGGAGAAGATCAAACAGAAAGGAAAAAAGCTGTATTCTTTGAAGTTTAACGGTGAACTTTAGTGTGAACTGGGAAATGAAAAAACTGAATTTGTGATGACCAACATTTATTTCTTCTAATGAGTTACTTATTACTGACCTTTTCCGTAACTGTTTGAATTTGTTGTGCCGCATCTGCAATTGCATGCTCATAAGATAAGGCTCGTTCTTCAATAATACTTAATATTTTGGAACATGATGTTTCGGTTTTATCAATAATTTCTCGTGTGTTTACATAATCGGCATTTATACTACTTAATGTTATTTCTATTATTGTTTGTTTTGATACTAGCATATCTATTATTTGATTTAATTTTAAAACGTTTTTATCGATGCGTTCAATATTAGTTAATAATAAATTCAGTTTATTGTTTATTTCATCATTAGGTCGGCCATCGTCGGAGGCTAGTGATGGTGAATCACAATAATCAAATGGATCTTTCATCATCTCTTGAGACATACTGCGCGATAATAATAATAATCGTAGAATATTTGAAAAATAGAACAGTATTATATATTGTGTAAAGAATAGTGGAAGAGTCAGAGTTTTATGAAGGTGATTATGAGATGTCCGATAAAGCTTTACGATTATATACTGTTCTAAACTTGAGAAAAAGTTGGACGGAGATTTTTTTGGGTATCTATACATTTTGTGTACAGATACAGTTATCTATAGATTTGTGTCTACTAATTTTTGTCCTAACAAGTTGACAATTTGTGATACTATTTCTTTTTGCGTTTATCAATTAGTATACAAGAACATAGTTCCTTTTAATCTAATTAGATAGATGCCTATTATATGCTCATACAAATTTTACAAGATAAATTGAAATAGAAATTAGACTGGGATAATCGCTCTTACACTATAGAGTAATACGAAAGAATCAAATAAATACGAAGAGAAAACGAAGAGTTGCCTGTCAGCTTGTACGTCATATCATACTCAATAATACTTCATCAAGCAAAAGTCATTTAAATAAAACTTCATAAATCCCCAATTTTTTATTATGTCGAGCTATAAATGGTTATTATTCGAAACCAAAGAAAAGTCCATTAAAACAATCAATCATTTAAAAGAATTTCGTTTTAAAAATAGTCCACGCGGTAGAAAATCGTATTATCAAACGCATCCCGAATTAGTTCCGGAATTAAAAAAATTATTAAACACACACAGTGGAGAAGCACAAGATCGTCGAAGAGATGATGTGGTTCGTTTTAATGGTTTGTCTATAACAGATAGTAATAATTAAAAAAAATGTAAAAGTCAAAAGTTTTACAAATCTATTATTTCAGCGAAAATTCCACAAAAACAAAATTCTAAATCTCATTATCATCCAGATTTTCATATTACATGTGCCCAAATTAATTATGTACAAGAACTAGCCAGTTTATATAATGATGAATGCATTTCATTATCCAGTGACAATAAGGCCAAAATCCCACTTGGAACGGTAGCAGTTAGTTGTCACATTAAATCAAGAAAATTCCATTTAATCAATAAATCTCCAAATCTACCAGATCATGATTTTCCAAAGCCAGGTGTCAAAATCATCCCTGCTGGCTATGTTCGTTTATGGCATAATCGTCGTTCATCTAGTGCCAATCCAAATCAATCATCGTCGTTACCACGCATAAAAAGATCCAAATCATCTGGACCAAGTTTGTTCAAACTGCGAGGAGAAATCAAACAGGTAAGCGAAAATTATTTTTTATATCTTAAAACAAAACTCTCGAAAAAAAATAGAAATATCCCCTTGTCAGCTCACATAGTTTGTATATGCATGTATTACATATGATTCGATCAAAAGAAAACCGAAAATATAAAATAAAATGTAATCGAAATGAGGTAGAACAGCCTAACTAAAGAAGCATTTCAAAATTGCATAAATAGGAAAAAATATAATGTTCTTCTTGTTTGTATACGTGTATATATATATATATATATATTCGATATAAAATATTATCACAAATCTCATAATTAGTAGCACTTTTATTAAATTCTGAAGAACGTAACTGGAACGTGCTGGAAAAAAATTCTGACATTAGCAATTGTAAGTTTTCTCTGATCAATTATGGCCGTACGATTTTAAAATTTAAATCGCTAAAACTTCCATTGATTGATATTACTGGAAGCGCCAACCTATTTGATTCCTTAGATTGAAAAGAATCTGAGAAAAACACATTGCGAACAAGTTTCATTCCAACATCACATCAGCAGACTCACTAAGGGAGCGTTTCAAAATATATTCCGGTCGGTCGGTCGCTATTCCTCGATTCCGCTGTTCCTCTATTCACCGACTATTCCGCGACTGTTCCTCTGTTATTCCTCTATTCCTCTATTATAGAACACTTCATTTTATACTACTTTTTCTATATATAATTTATAGAGTATACTGAGCTTGATTTTCTTTTCTAATTGTTTCTACTTCTTCAAAAACAATTAACCGCCATGTTTTCAAAGATTATTCATTTATCAAGCTAATATATTTAAAGCAAAAAGAGAACATCTCTTTTATAGTTCATTTTCCTGTCATACTGTTTAGGCTTTTTTAGAATAAAATGTTTTCCTTAATATCAGGAAGAAACTATAGTATCACGTGTTTTTCTTTACAGAAGTAAAGATTTAGACAAAAACGAACTTCAGGAAAACAGCGTTAACATGAAGGCCTCACTATTGCTAATATTCAGGAGAATATTTTATAAGAATTTTATTATTATTAAAATTAATTATAATTATTTTATAAGAGAATAATAGAAGAATAGAGGAATAATAGAGGAATACATATGAAAATTTGATGATTTTTTTCTAGAGAAGCGGTATTTGAGATTTTTACATATTCGGAATCAGCGCGATGAGTTACGTTGTACGGCGCAAAGATCTCGTCGGGGTACACGCAAAAATGGGGTCATGGGAGTCCCACTTAGAATACCACTGTATTCAACGGTATAGTTCATCGTTCAACTTCAAACATGCCGCATTTTATTCGTTCTGCTTGTAATGTCATTTTGTTTTCGCTTTCGTTTTTTTCTTTTCTACGCATATATAGTGAGAGGTATAGAAAGCAAGAAAGTGAAAAGTTAGAAAATTTTATCTTTTCATCGAAATATTCACTGTAATCACTATGATATTGCTGTATATCCTGTCAACTTGACACATAAAAAAGTTAACAAATTTGGAAGTACCCCTCTCCAGTTTTTAAGGTACTTTAAAATACACAAGCTGTACTCCATCTTGAGCTATTTATTAGAAGAGCGTACAGTCTACTTTTTGAGACACAGAGCTGCCAATATCGCTGTCAATGCAACTTCTATGTGCCACCAGACTATCAGCTATATAATGGTAAAAAATTTTCTGGAAAAAGTTCAAGAATAAGATCAGGATGAAGAAAATACTACGCTCGTCGAGTATTTCTGTTCTAATTAAAAGCAATCACTCTATCATTCAATTGTTTATTTAAATTTCGTTATTCTTGTGTGTGTGTGTGAAAGAGATGACCTGAAATATCTACTGATGCAGAGAGTAAAGAAGCTAAGCGAACCTTTCTATAGTTCGAGATAGATGTCGTCAGAAATCAGTGAATTTTGATCACACAAAAATGTCATATACGGATAATTAAACTTACAGAGTATCAATAGTCTTGAATTTAGACATATGGTTAGACCTCTGGAGACTTTCGAAGGGGCTCGAGAAACCTTTTTCGATTTACATTAGATTACGAAACTTACACATCAAACCTCGGAAAAATTCATAACATATTTTAGATAGTCCCCTCGCGCGAACACCGACCGAAGGGAGATGTTCGCGTTTTCTTGAATGCAGATATAAGTTCCTAAACTCAAGGGACCAAGCGAGTGCAGACGAGCGTTACCTTGTTATTTACTACAACTATAAGGCTTCGTTCACAAATTATTAGTCAATCTTTAATTCTACTGCTTTCTTTTTTATCCAATGCAATAATCGATTATATTTTATTTTTAAATTTTTTTGAATTCAAAGATTCATCACAGAGGAAGACAGAAAGAAAATAATAATAAGATAATAATTATTTATTGGTTGTTTCGGTTTCTGATGGATAGGAGCGCTAATTCCTCAGTTACTTGATGACCGTTCTTCACATATCATGTTCATAGATCGATGTGTACTATGGAGACGTTGTATTCTTCATTTCTTTATTTAGAACAAGCCGTACTGGCGCCAATTCAGCTGCAATATTGGAAGGTTTCACATTTTGAATACCGTAGACAATGTGTGCAGCTGGAACATACTGTTTAGCTCGATTAATATGATCACTTGAATCATCGAAAAAGATCGCTGGATCGATGGCGATCAGGAAAGGTGTCTTATCGAGTCCACCCAAAAAGTGTGTTTCGTCGATCTCGAGGCCCCAATTCTGTAAAGTTTTAAATGCTCGTTCGTTGGCTACGCCATTGCGCGCAGTGACAAGGAAAGTACGCACTCTCCATGCATTTTCTTTTCCTAATGCTTCACGTACTTTTTGCAACTTGAAAGCAAATGCATGCAATGGACCTTCTGGCAACGCAATATGCTTTTTTTCCTGCTCGAACTGTTGGAAGACCTCCAAGCCTTTCTCTCTATAGATGCATTCCGCTTCATCCGAGAAGAGTACACCATCTCCATCGAAAACAATACGCACTTGATCCTTTGGCCATTGTGAGAGATCAGCAGACGTAGTTTCATTATAATTATGCATTTTCTTGACCATAACAGGCCTACTCATAACATAAAAAATACAAGAGAATAGTGTATTTGAAGCTTCTCATGAATATTCTAGACTTCAGAGAATTGTATCACTCATCTCATTCAAAACGAAACATTCTGAAGGTCATTAGACAACCTGAGAATGCCATGAAAGTCTGATCACATTGGAAGCTATTTTCTGTTTTGGAGTATATGAAGAAGAAACCAGCTTAAAAAGTTCAGCTTCATTTAGCAGCGAGAAGCCAATAGATATCTCTGTGAGTGACACGAACATTCATAGAAGCATCAAATGAATTTGTGCAAATTTACGAGATGGATGAACTTACAATAAATCGGATGGAAGATCCGTTGTTTCAGCCATTATATTGCATACCAAACCAGCTGCTATTTTCTTGGGCATGGTTGTATTTTGAGACAGTACTGTGCGAACTTGCTCCTCTTCTGTGGTAAGAAAGAGGTCGCATCTCCAAGCTTCCAAATACTTGGTGACATCTGTACCATTGGTGAATGACATGCGTGTAATACCAAGCTTATAGTGATCGATGGAGTTCCGAACTCGTTCTCCTGATACGCCGTCATTACGCGATACGAGAACCACATCGATCAACTGTTTACCGCTGCTGTGGTTCAACTCCAGCATAGATTGAACTAGTCGAAATCCAACACCAGGTTTGAGAGATATTGTGACATTATCACGTTGGTGCATTTTGTACGCTTCAAGTCCTTCTTGTTGCCATATGTTGTGAGATTCATTGCAATCGAAGAGTGCAGTAGAAGTAATACAGACGACGAGCTCGAAAGACAAAGGCATGAAGACAATTATTCTCCACGTAGTTTTCAGACACCACTGTAACTAAGTCCGGAATGCAGAAGTTGAACAGCTGAAAGAAAAAAGCTTCTACAGTTAGAAAAAGTACATACTAAGACGTCTGGATTCGATAATCAACTTTTTCTTCAGACTGTATAGAGCGAAATACTCAAGTAATGTGTTGTACAGACTAAAAGTATCTGCAAGCTCGATTTTCTCTTACTTTTCGATCATGTATGTGCTGAATAATTTTGTGTTAGGAAGAATCCTCTTTTTAAAGGTAAAGAACAGAGTCAATGAAATATCGTAAAGAGTGTCTCTCATATCACTTCTTGTGAAATGTTTACTCCTAGGTAAGGAATACATCTTGTATGCTTTTAAGCGTTTAGACACAGAGTTTATCACCTAAGTAATCCCATATACTGCTTTCCTACAAAACTAACTTGTTTTTGGCTGCTATATTTAATTTGACAGAAATTGATTTTTTATCCACAGTTAGGTCTTTCATTTCTATGGCTCGTTCCAAGAGATGAATATCTGAGTCTATGATAACCCTAAATTTTACTGGTATCTTCTCTATATGTTGAAGGCGAAACAGTTTTATCTGGCGCAAATAACACGCATCGTCTTAGAGTTTTTCCAATACCATCAAAACCGGAGAATATGCCACAGCTAAGAACCAATGCGGTATATGATAATGCTATTAAAATTTTGGAAGATAAAAACAAATCACAGTTAAATAGTAAACATGAACGATGTCGAAGAAGGAGAATTAATAAAGGATTAAGAAGCAAACAGCAAGGTTACCATGGCGTCTGTCATTTAAGAAAACTACGATATTTTGACGTTGGACTATCTTTCTTATTTGATAGCCTTCATAATGCATATCATGGAACATTTGTAAGTCTTTTTATTCTTTTGATATATAATTCAAGAAAATAAGTTTCTTCGTGTAATTACAGAAGCGGCTTCTTAAATTATGGCTCGACAATTCGTACAAAAATGAGCGATGGTCATGTGCATCAAAATTTAAGGATATAGCTGAGAAATTGAATTCTATTTATTATCCATCAACAACATCACGAACACCTCGTCAGTTAGAAAAGTACCTAAAATTTAAGGGAAGTGAAGAACGTTTAGTTTTATTGTTTGGTTTCGAAGCGTTTCGAAATTTTCTGTTAAAAAATTATTATGAGCATCATTTATTATTTGTTATGGCTGTGCACAAAGCAGAGAATCGTTCAATATCTTCAATTGACGTGCTTGAAATCAAAGAACTTCTCACACAATATCATCATCAGTTTCCTAAACTATACGGTAAGCGGCAAAATGTTCAATCTGTTCACTCAACGTACCACATGTATCAATCAGTTAGAGACTATGGTAAACTATCAAATTACTCGACGTTTAACTTTGAATCTATCCTTGGTAAGTTTGATAGAATTAATGGATCGCTTTTGCAATGCAGCTATCTTGTTTTCCAAATTCATTAGCGTAACGGCAATGTTGTGCCGTTTCCACTAATAACTCTGCAGAATAAAATACCTTTTTTGTTATATTTCTAGGTCTAATAACACGAACAATTAATGCAACGAAAAACCATTCGCTGGAAATTCAAAATACATTAAATTTATTCAGATTAGCATGGCATGAATCAGAAAGTGATGAATTTAATAAAACACTAAAAATATTTATCGAAAGTTTAACAACAACAAAACGTGTTGGATATAAATCCAATCGTTCAACAGCAGCAAATGCTTTAATTCCAAAAAAGAAAACACATTTATCACCAACAAGATTAGCTAGCTTACAAGTTAAATTCAACTGCCTTAATATCGTTGCATTTCAAACATTATATATCGCAACCACGCGTTTCACAACACAAGATTTTGGACAAGGAAACAGAACCAGCGATTCTCTGATATTATTCGAATCAGACGGTCGTCAGCACATAGGGTTCATTCAAAATATTATAAAATATCAACAGCAATTTGCTTTAATGGTAAAAACAGCCACAATTATCGATTGTTTACGTGTATTTATTGGAGAAACACAATATTCAACCACAAACGTTACATATGGGAATTTTGAAAGTGATACAATTCTTTTTATTGAACCACATCAAGTAATAGAAAAACTCTGTTATTCCTATGATAAAACAAAAAAGAATTATACATTTTTTCGTTATCCAACATTAGAAGAATCGAGTTAGTCTATTTTTTTCTTGTATGTATTGTTTCTATCAACCTTTTCTATCAACTTTTAAGTTGAATAAAAATTAGCTCTTCTGCTTGAAGAATACGAGCGCAACTATTATTTCAAGATTGACGGCGGCTTTAAGAATGCCTATCAAAAACTGCATTATTAAAAAGCAAGAAATACTTTAACATGAAAGAAGTGCAGCCCTATTTTACACGTTTCCTACAAGTTTCTAGCAGGTATGTGCCAGAAATTCTAATCACAAAAGGCGAGAACAACCGGGATTGAAGCACGAACCGAGGTTTTGAATTGAAAAATTGCATTTGGTACGTAAAGTGCGGAC